ATGAGAAACTTGCTCAAACGCTTTCCACAGGTCGAGCAAGATGCTGGCCGAGGCCCAGTCTTGGTCGGGATGTAGCTCCGCCATCATCGCACTGGGTGAGAGGGGACGCATGCGGGCGGTAGCACTGGGGCCGTCCGTGGAGCTCCCTATGGGGCCACGAAACGCTGTACTGGGTGGGGGGGACGCATGCGAGCGGTAGAACTGGGACCTTCGGTGGAGCTCCCTGTGGGACCACGCAACGCTGTACTGGGTGGGGGGTCGCATGCGGGCGGTGCCACTGGGGCTGTTGGTGGAGCTCCTTATGGGGCCACGAAACGTGCGACGGGTGCGCCGAAACGGGCGATGACGATGATGACAGGAGGAGGGAGGAGGAGGGGGACGAGGAAAGAAGGATTGAAGGAAGGAAACAAGAAGGAGGAACGCGGGGACTGTCTTTTCAAATCGAGGACCCAACACACCACAGGATGGCTTGGAAAAACAGCGACAATGACAGCAACAACAACAACAATCATTATAAGACCGTTCGCTCTTTATCTGCTCGAGTGTCCTTCAACGTGTATTCCCCGAACCCTCGATGCCCGCCCTCTTCGTCTTCGATCGCACCCTCCTTGTCGAAGGTGCGTATTTCTCCCCTGCAGGCCGGGCCCCAGCAAGCGGCGAGGCGGCCGCGGACCGTCGGCTTGGCCAGCGGCAGCGACGACCGGCGGCAACCCGACCCCAAGAAGGAAGGACAGGGGACCGACCGCGACGACGACGACGACGACGACGACGACGACGGCGGCGGCGGCGGCGGCGACGACGAGCGAAGGCGAGAGCGAGAGCGAGAGCGAGAGCGGGGCCATCAAGGGCAGGAAGGGGGCCACGAAAGGCGACAGCGGGGCCACGAAGGAAGGGCGCGAACGAGCGGGAGCCACGAAGGGCATATAACGCGGGGCCACAAAAGGTAACGACGGGGCCACTGAGGGCAACAACGGGGCCACAAAGAGAAACGAGGATGCCGCGAAGGGCGACAGCCGAGCCACGAAGCGCATGCATATGGGGCCACGACGGGCGAAAACGAGCGGGGGCCACGAAGGGCACGCGCATCTTGGGCCGCAGAGGGTAAGGACGGGGCCACTGAGAGCAGCAACGGGGCCACGAAGAGCAACGAGGGGGCCGCGAAGGGCGACACCCGGGCCACGAAACTCATGCATATGGGGCCGCGACCGGCGCGAATGAGCGGGGGCCGCGAAGGGCATGCATATATGGGGCCACGATGGGCTGCAACGGGGCCACACACGACTGCAACGGGGCCGCGAAGGGCTGCCACGGGGCCACGAAAACCAACGAAGGGTCACGAAGGGCTGCCACGTGGCCACGAGGGGCTGCAACGGGCCACGAAGGGCGGCGGGGGAGCCACGAAGCGCTGCAACGGGTCCACGAAGGGCAACGAGGGGGCCACGAAGGGCTGCAACGGGGCCACGAAGGGCAGCGAGATCCCGATTCCTGAGTAAGCTGCGAGTGAGTCTTTAGCGTGCGCGATTCCTGGGCGCCTGCGTGTCGGGAGCGCGGCGCTTGTGCAAACTCTGGGGAACTCCAACCCCAGAGCGATTTTTGAATAAATCGCAAGCAAGTCTCCAGCGAGAGCGCGAGTCCAGAGCGCCGAGAGAGCGATTCCTGAATAAATCGTGCGGGAGTCCCAAACGAGAGCGCGACGCCTGAATTAAGTACGAGAAAATCTCAGGCGGGAGCGGGGGCCCTGGCTAAATTGCCAGGGGTCTCAAGCGGGAGCCGTTGTTGTAGTCCGGCGGCCAAAGGCGCAGTTCGAGCCGCCTAGTGACGTTCCCTGATAAGAAACAGGGCGCGAGCCCCAGGGGAAGCATTTCAATTGAAAAAAATACAATGGTCACCAGAGGGGGGACCAACAAACAATTACTATTCAGTAGCGAGCTCAAGAACAATCAGTTCCAGAATGTCCGTTCCTATCTGCTCGCGCGCCACTCAACGCGCATGTCCCCAACCCTCAATACCCGCCCACTTCGTCTTCAATCGCACCCCTTTTGGGGCGCTTCTCCTCTACCTGCCACGCGAATTTAGCACAGCCACGGCACATGATGGAACACGGGGGGAATTAGCAGGATGGGGGCTCGGAAAAGGAAACACGCCGTAGAACCAGACGGGCAAACCAGGCGGGCAGACCCTCGCGGGCGGGCCGGAAGGCGGGCGCACGCGGCCAGGTCGAGCAGGCGGGTTGCTGGAGCGGGCCCAGCACGAATCGCGGGGAAGCCTCACGCGATAGCGCGATTCCCAAATAAATCGCGAGAAAACCACAGCGAGAGCGCGATTCCTGAGCGTCGAGGGCGCGGCGTCTGAATAAAATGCGAGGAGACCCACGCGAGAGCGCGACTCTTGCATACATTATGAAGAAATCCTGCGCGAGAACGCGATTTTGGAAGGGCACAGAAGGCAGGGGCAGCGAGCAGGCATGCTCAAACGAATCCGCCTGCGCCCCGTCGGTCACAGCACGCAAACCACGCCGCAAACAACAAAGCCCCATGAACAGATGCAGCGAGATAAGAAAACCTGAATTCGGCGCGCTCCGGGAATTCCCGGACCTCGCGTCGCCCCCGCACACCTTGGCCCCCAAGGTGCAAACCCGAAACCCGCTGTTACGGCACACGAGAAGAGGGCAACAACTAATCCCGGCAGACCTCATGGAGCAAGCCGAAGCAGGCCGACGCATCCCGCGATAGGAGGCAAGTCTAAAGGTGTCCTCTACTGACAAAGTCCCTCATAACCGTTGCAAGAGGAACGATCAGAGCAGACAACTGGAGGAGCACCGTGGGAGGATTAAAGTGCTGCACGCCAGACACCTGCTGCTCCACGCACACAGTTCTTGGTAACAGGCCCTCGCTTGCCTGACTAAATAAGTCACATTGGCGAAACTAGTTCGTCTTGTACGGGCGTTCCCTCATATGTCCTACTACGTCGCACGAGCGACCATAATTCACGTTTTTTCAGCTGTCTTCGCCTCTCCCGAAGTCACATTCGCAAGCACAGCTCGCGACAAACAACCGCCGACGCTACGTTCTGCAACCGAAAAGTGACAGCTGACGCGGCGGGCCGAAAAGTGATGACTGAACAGCTTCCACCGGGGCACGGTAAAATGTAGTGAACCTAGCGGCTGCTCAACCCGTCGGTGACATGTTCTCCCCATTCGTCCTGAGGTCGCCGCGGCGGGAGGTGGGCACGGTTTTCTAACGCCTCTCGTCGCTCAGTCTGACCGCGCGTGGTCGTACTTGCTTGTCCCGCACATCACGTCCAAGATCAGCTCTCGGCCGATACTCCCCTTCGCCACGGAGCCGTCCCTCATACCACGGGTATCGCACCAAAACATGTCGGTGATCTGCTTGGCGCGGAGCTGGTTGGAAAGCCACCACGGATGGCCTGCCATGCTATGCTCTAAGAGGGTGGACGCATAAGATACGTGGCGACGGCCGCAAAGACTGACATCCCGTCCACGACCAGGGTTACCGCTATGGCGTAGCCTCCCTCCTTTCTCTGTTCCCTGATCTCTTCGGCTGAGACTGGGCCCCAGATCATCTCGTGGAGCACGAAAAGGTAGGCATGCAACCCATCAGATGCGCCGCGTGCTGCAAGCCGCTCGGGGCCGAACGAAGACACGCACAAGTTTGTGTGAGCGGTTCACGGCGTCGAGCAACTGGAAGACCTCCTTGCCAGCGCTGCGACATTTGCTGAAGCGCATGTAGACGGAACCCCTCATGCCGCACCCCGTCTCGTCCTCCCTCTTGAAAGCCCTGTCGCTGCGCACGCAAATCCGACCAGCCCATTCCACGGCAGGAAACGTGATGCGCGACTTGTTTCTCTGCACGGCGAGGACCACAGCCTTGAGCTGCAGAACGTGTCGTATAAGCAGCTTGTTTCTGGCCCGCTGCAAATGTACACTGCAACGTGGTGCTGCGTGAGCAGGGCGCAAGCAGCTGCTCCCAGCAAAGAGACGAACAGGTCGGGTAGTTCACTTCCTGCGGGTTCGTCGGCCTTCGTTTTGACCAGATCGGCGTGCCTGATCGGTATCAGGGAGTCGATGTACTCGTCCTGGTCGAGCGTCACGGCGCCGTCGGCGCTGCGGTGTTGGTGGGCACCGCACTTGGTGAAGTCGTCGTAGCCCCCTTTCATATTGCCGACGACGCTGTCGAGATGGCCAATGAGATTGTCGACGTGCTCCTGTTGTCCAGCGATCTTCCGAATATGGAAGTCGCATTGATGATGATCTGAAGGGTCGTCGTCTTGAGGGGATGAAAGGAGATGCTGGGGGGGGGGGCCGCCGCGGGCAGGGCTTGCACTCGGAAGGCGACCCATTAACCGTTTTGAGCCGAAGCAGAGGCGGTCACCCCTGCCTTGCTACACGGTATGCCACATACGTGATCCTGACGAGCCCCGCTCCCCAGAATGAAATCGACACTTCAACTGATGGAGGGGGAGAGAGAGAGAGAGAGAGAGAGACGACGCACGACGCATCTGCATCGGGGGAGGTCTGTAATCGTCCGTGCGTGGCGACCCCAGGGTGAGGCGCACCAGCACCACTTCCGCAAGCCGTCTGCGTGCGCTGCACGGGAGCCGAGAGGAGGACGGAGTTCGGGCGGGGGGCACAGGGGAGGTGACCCGAACGGGGGGGGGCACCGTTGGATACATACATGTTTTCCTCCCCCTCTGGATTATTCGCCCCTATCGTCGCCTCCAAGTTTAAGAGGCCTCCTGGATGGGGTCCGAGTAGATGGGGTCGGAGGATCGCGCTGCGTCGGCGATGCATCGGTGACGTCGACGATGCATCGGCGCCGTCGGCATGGAGAAAGTGGGGCTCCGCATCGAGCCGCATCGCCGATGCATCGGCGATGCGGCGCGATCCTCCGACCCCATCTACTTGGACCCAGTCTGGGAGGCCTAGACCTGGGCTATTCGCCCCTATCGTCGCCTCTGACATTGGCACCCGCCCGAGGAGCCTCGGGCCAGGGAGCCTCGGGCTCCTCCCCCGGCGCCGCCTGGGAACCGGACTCGCCGGCGGAGAGGGCGCTCCTGCCGGGTGGGCGGCAGCGCGCGGGGGCCAGGCCAGCCACAGGGAATGCCTCCTCCTCCTCCTCCTCCTCCTCCTCCTCCTCCTCCTCCTCCTCCTCCTCCTCCTCCCCCTCCTCCTCCCTCCTCCTCCTCCTCCGCCTACGCCTCCTCCTACGCCTCCTCCTCCTCCTCCTCCTCCTCCTCTTCTTCCTCCTCCTCCTCCTCCTCCTCCTCCTGAGCACGAAGGGGCTGGGGCAAAGGGCGGAGGCCTCCTATGGAGGGAAAACCCCAGACCCCTTCTGAGAAGCACCCTGCATTGTCAGGAACGCCACACACACACACTCGCTCCACCCCCGTATGTGCGCCCCGATGGCGACCCGCGGTCCACCGCAGCGTTGAGCAGCGTCTGACAGCATCCGCATGTACCCAGTAGTGGGGAGTCAAAATGTATCGACACCGCCAATGCCCAGACCTCTCCCAGGGTGCGTTCTCACCATGTTTTCGAAGCGAATCCAGCCGTGGCGACAAGGCCTCTGCAGGACGAGCAGCGCTGTTGGTTTATCTGTTCCCTTCGCTGAGATCACGCCCGATAGCATACCAACGATGGCGTTCGCCGCCAGGCGTCTTTTAGCATGGGGGAAACGGGTCCTGAGGGAAATGGGTCCTGGGCCCCGGGGCCTTCCCCCAGGACCACTTGTTCGCCCCGAGCCGTTACTCGGTCCCGGGGCCCGTGGAGGGCCCTGCGAGAGCCCGAAAACGTCGGAAAACCCCAGGGCACACTTCCCCCACTGGAAGAATAAAAAATCACATAAAAAATACCATAAGCATAAACTGTTGGCGCTCCGCGGGGATTTCTTGGATTCGCGCTGAACCCCCCTCCCTGGCGCGCGGAGCGCGCCAGGGGCGGCGCCGGAGGCGCCGCCGGGAGGGCCCAGGCGCGGATCCGAGAAATCCGCGCGGAGCGCCAAACAGCGGCACGAGCGCGCGCGAGCGAGGCGGTGCACGAAGAGGGCCAGCGAGGAGTCTCACTCTGCTTCCCCTTCGTGCATCCGGCATCCGAGCTGATGTGGCTTTCTGAAAAGGCCCTGGGACACACAAATAAATACACACAAATAAAATGATGCCCCATATTTTCCTGTAATTTCTGGGTTTTTGTCTTCCCCCCCAATTCCCATATTTTCCCATATTTTCTGGGGAATGGAGGATTAATTGTGTCTGTGTGTTTCTTTCCCTCCTGAATTTCCCTCTCCTTCGACCCACGGCGAGCCTTCTCGGCCCGGCAGGTCCTGCCGGCGCCGCCGGTGCGGCGGCGCTCCCGCCAGGGCGGCAGCGCGGCACCCCGGGCGCTCCAGCCGTGCAGCGGCGGGGCGGGCCCCCCGGGCGGTGCAGCGGCGTCGGGGGCGCGCTCCCGGCGCGCCCGGGGCGTCTGCCGGGCGTCGTCCCCCGAGGGGGCGGCCCTGGCAGGGAGCGGATGCGGAGCCAGGGCTCCTCGCGCGCGGTGAAAGACTCGCGGCGGGAGGGCTTTTTCTATGTTCTGCCTCGGGGGGCCCTCCCTGGGCCTCGGGGCCGTCAAAACACGGCTCGGGATGAGGCACCGGTCCTGGGGAAGGGGTCCAGGCCTCTGGGGGTCGACGATGCGAAAAAATCACGACGTCGAGGGTCTGGGGAGGCAGGATCGAAGGATCGAGGATCGAAGGTTCGAAGCAGCTGGATCGAGGAGAATCACACATGGCCCGAAGTCCTCCGCCCAAAGCGACAGGGTCGAAAGGCCCCCGCACGCCTGCTGCGTCCGAGGAGCATCCCTGGACGAGCAGAGGTGATCGGAGCTCCGCGGGGGTGCACCCGCATGTGCATGCGCCACGCTGGTCCCGGGCAGGCTGTGCTGCCAGGCGGAAGGGCACGAGGACGGGAGAAGCTGGCAGACGACGACGAACGCCCAGGCGGGAGGCCAGGGCCGGCGGGGCGGGCGGGCAGGCAGAAGAGGGGCCAGGCGGGGACAGCAGGCAGGGAGCGGAGGCAGGCTCGAAGGGTCAAAGGTTCGAAGTAGCGGGGCTCCAAGCCAGGGCCGGACCTCAGCGTTGTTCTTCTCGTTGTCTTCGTTTTGCGTTTCGTGCTGCTCTGCCTGTTTTCCTGCACCTCCCTGCCACAACGAAAAACAAAACACAGCCGCAGTCCAGAAAAACAGCGTTTAGGTCCAGCCCTGCCCAGTCCCAGAATCATGCGTTCATGAAACACGGCTTGGCTAAACAAAGCTGCAATGAGGCGGCTGAATGGACTTCAAGCCAGACGCCTACGAAGAATCCTACATATACCCCCCGCCTTTCTTACACGAGTGCCTAACAGCAAGGTGTTAGAACAAGCTGGGCAAATTAAGTACAGCAAGCAAATTATTCAACAACATATCTTACTATTTGGCAAAATTGGTCGGGCTACAAATACAAATGTTCTGCGACGACTCACTTTTCAGCCGGACAGCGTCCACTCAGTCGCAAACACGAGTGGGCCAAATGCGTACACAAGATTTAGGTTGCTCATCTTGGCCCGGAACACACCTGGTTGCAGCGCCTGCAGGACCACATCGAATGGCGAACAATTGCGGAAAGCATTGCAAAAAACTGTGGTGAAGGCGACTACCGATTGCATTATTAATGTAAATTGCATGCGATGCCCGGTGCCTTGGCGTCCTACTTATTTTTCTGTTTTCGCCTACGCGCTTCGGCGTATGCCTTAGCGTAGCGTAGCGTAGCGTAGCGTAACCAGCCCTGGCCAGAACCATCCTGGGCCCTGGACTGGTGTACTGGCCCTCCTGGCCCAGGCCTGGAGTTATGTTGCTCCCATCGTACTGTCGTGCTTAAGGACCACATCCCAAAAACAATTTCGCGAACACCCAAAAATATCGAAACGGTGTCGAACGAATATCGCCTCCCAGGGCCCGACACGTAAAAACCCTCACGTTTCAGTAGTTTCTTGGTTCTCGATGTTCTTTCTGGAGATCAAGGCTAAATTAGGTTGGAGCACTGTAAGCCTGGAGATCTACACACCAGCCCGGGGCCCACGATGGGCCCGACCAGGGCTGGTGGTGGTGTAACTGTTGGCGCCCCTCGGACGAAGGAGCGAAGGCTCGAAGGATCGAGGCTCGATGGGGGACCATCGAAGAGATCGGGGGGGATCGGGGGTGGGTGGGTGGTCATGGGGTCTGGTGCTTGGAGGCAGCTCGTCTTCAGACTCCAGCCAGTTTGCTTGCATGGAGGTGGGGAGGGGGGGGGGCGTGACGAGGCCCGAAAGGAAACTTGGACTTCGCACAAGTCGTGACGCGCTTGCACGCAGTTTCGGCCTGGCGCCGCTTGAGAAGGGAGCGGAGCGGGGCAAGTCGGGACATGCTTGCACGCCTTTTCGCACAGCGCCGCTTGAAAAGGCAGTGGAGCGGGGGGGGGCGGCGGAATGTCATGCAGGTGGACTTGCCAGAATTGAAATACAAACGCGCTCTTTCACCAGCCTCGAACTCATCCCTATTCCTGAGATGGACAAGCCCAAAGGCGGCGACGATCTCAGGGATGCGCCGTCGGCCCCGAGGGTCAAGTCGGGCGCGTCCCTCTACAGGGGGGTTCTGGGCGAAAAATAGAAAATAATCAACAACAAATATTCGAAAATAGTCAAAAATGCCTCGCTCTCCCCCCTGCTCTCCCCCCTCCTCGTCTTCCCCTCCTCGTCCCTCTCCCCCCTCCTCGTCCTCCTCCTCCCCCCTCGTACCTCCTCCTCCTCCTCCACCTCCTCCTCCTCCTCCTCCTCCTCCTCCTCCTCCTCCCCCTCCTCCTCCTCCTCCTCGCCCCTCCTGCTCCCTAGCGTCCTCCGCCACCTACTCCTCAACATCCTCGTCGTCCTCGTCGTCGCCGTCTTCCAGGGTCGGCGGCACCGGCCGTAAGGCCTTCGCAATAGTCAAAAATGATGTTCTATATAATGATAATAAGAATAACAATAATAATGATATTAATAATAATAATAATAATAATAAACGTTACATCTATATCTATATCCGATATGTCATATATAAAACAAAACAAAAACAAAAAAAATATTGTACATATATATATATATATATTAACAAAAAACACAACAACAAAAAAAAAAAAAAAAAAAAAAAAAAAAAAAAAAAAAAAAAAAAAAAAAAAAAAAAAAAAAAAAAAAAAAAAAAAAAAAAAAAAAAAAAAAAAAAATCCCCAATATATATATATATATATATATATATATTGACTATGTTTGAATACTCCTTCTGTAGAGGGGCAGGCCCGACTTCACCCGGGGGCCGTCAGGAGACGGCGCGGGACGGTGGATCGGCCCCGGCGGGGAAGAGTCGAGAGCGCCGGGCCCTCGCGTGCAGACGAGCGCGTCCTGCTGCTCGCAGAGCAGCTGCTCGCAGGCGGCCCAAAAGACGCCGCGGGGGATCTACAGTCGGGGCGTTGACCTAAGGAACCCAAAAGGGTTCCTTCTTCAGCGCCCCGACTGTACGGTCCACTGCGTCGAGGCGAACAAGTGCTCTTGTTTCCGACGTGTGCGAGCGGGCACTTTGCGAGCAGTGGAGTGCGCTGGGTAAGTATGGGCAACATTAAGATGTCGGGGGTCAGAGAAGTCTCGGGGGGCGTCCAAGAGGGGGGCGTCCAAGAGGGGGGTTCGCAACTCATGGCCCGAGGCATGTGCGCGGCCAAGGGGGGGCCAAGGGACATATTGAAATAAGACGAGGCACCATGAAATGTGGGGAGCTATCATGGCCCCAACCAAATCCTCCCCCCCACTAGTCATCACCCGCCTCTTGGCCGCTCCCGAAAGTCAGGACGGCCAGGGCTTGCGGAGATCCCCCAGATGTTTGCAGCGGTTCTCGGAGACCCTGGGGACCAGATGATCTCCAGCAACAGCTGCAATTCGTCGAGAGCACCGCAGGGACGCCAGGCATAGTCCCAAGCAGACCTCTCTGGCCCGACTTGCAGTCGAAAAGCCCAGACCTCCAGAGGTCCAAAAAAGAATTGAACGACCCGATTTTGTTTGTTCGGGTCTCCAGAGGCCGATTTCGGACCCCAGAGCCAACGAGAAATGACCCAGGGAGCCAACGATCCAACTGCCCCAATCCTGGTCAGGCCAGCCCAGGTCCCCAGAACGGTGGATACGCCCTCCTCGCCATGTGTAGGGCGTAGACGCCCCTTCTGGAGCCAGGATCAGTCTCGCCAGGATAAGGAAGTTGGTGTCCCCCGAAAGGAAAACAAAACCAATTATCTGCAACCACCGAGGGTAGGTGTATTGTTCCTCCCCACCTCAGCTGGACTCGCGACTCCTGGGGCTTGAGCGGCCGAGGCGCCGCCAGCAGCCTCAGCAGGGCCCAAAATGACCGCCAACACCAACCCGGGCTGGGGAGCGATTGAGCCGTGTTGCCAGTCGCGACTTCCATGACACGACAGCCGAGTTGAAAATCAAGGTGGTGGTGGCTGGCTCTGGCGCTGGCGCTGGTGCTGGAGCCAGTACTGGTGCTGATGCTGGTGCTGGTGCCGGTGCTAATGCTAGTGCTAGTGTTGGTCCCAAATGTCGGTGCCTTTGCGGGACCGGTGCCAGTGATGATGCAGATGTCGGTGCAGGTGCTGTTACTGGTGCTGGTGCTGGTGACGGCGCTGGTGGCGTCGTTGGTGTCAAGGCTGGTGGTCGTGGGAAATGGTAATCGCGGTATAGTGTTGTGGATGCCATGACAATGGACACTCTAACAATCCTATCATTGAATTAAGAATATGTTTCAAATGTGTAAAACAAGTTTTTAAAATGATTCCACCTGTTTCTCATATTCAAAACATGTTTGAAACATGTCTTAGGCATCCGAAAATTATTTGGCAACATGCTTCCTCTCCATCAATCGACTTCCGCAAGTATAGTGATCGCGGGTGGGTGATGGTGGTGGCGGTGGTCGTGGTGATGTGATGATTTTGCACGGGCCTGTTAGATTACTCCTGCCTGTGCCGGCCCCCCGGCCCCAGTGTTGCAGAATCACGTCGTAAGAGTAGGTTGGGCATGTCCCCCTACAGGGGGATTTTGGACGAAAAATTGAAAATACCCTGAAAATGACCCCAAATGGCCAAAAATGGTCAACAAATCGTCCCCATACTATTTTTTGACTATTTTCGAATTTTCCCCCTGTAGAGGGACAGGCCCGGCTTCATCGTAAGACGTCGACCCCTCTCCGAAGTATCTACTGGGGCTGGGGTTTATGTCACGCTGGCAGCGGTTGGCGAGTCTCGCGATCCTCGTCTCGTGAAATGCCCGGACCGAACACGTTTTCCCTCCAGAAACCAACAAGCAAGCAAAAACATTCCTGTGTATTTCGATGAGAGCGACGCGCCCCGAGCCCCCGCCCACGGTGCCCCGGCACAGCCCACGATGGCCCACAGATGCCCCCCCCTTCTGGCCCCGGGGACCGTCCGTCCTGAGATCGCCCAAGACGGCCCCAGGGTGCCCTAAGGAACCAGGAGAGCCCAACAATGCCTCAGCGTGTTCCCGATATGATCCCAGACTAGACCAATAGGACCCGACATGAACTTGTGTTCATAAGATGGGTTCACGAAGGACCCCGGACGCTTCCAACCGGCTGTCCACAAGCGACGCTTTGAAATGGGGGACCAAGGCAGCGCCCAAAGCCATGTGAATGCACCACCACCGCCACAACCGTCATCATCAACAAGCACTAAGACGATCACTACGAATACAATACAGGCTCCAGCACTCGCACTACCACTCGAAATAACACTGCGCTGTGGCCAAGTTTACGATCCCAGCAACAACTACTACAGAACGACCTGTATCGGCACGACTTCTCCACAAGAAACAAAAGCCAAAACAATGACCAGTACTCTAACTGCAAATCCGCCACAGTGCCTCTGGCACGAAGTGGAGTACCCCAAGGCTCACGCAACCCTGAGAGCTAGAGGGGTTGTGGGGTTTTGAAAGGCCCGAACCCCGGTTTCCCAGGCGGTCCTGGGCGGTCCCAGGCGCTGCAGGGGTGTGTCACGTGGGCCTCCGGTGCAGTAACTTCGTCGACAAAGACCCAAAACAAACCGCCGTATTCGTCAGAAGCGCCCCAGGGGGTCCAAGAGTGCCCCGAGACGGCCACGGAAGGCTTCCCGACTGGCTACGATGCCCTCCAGATGACCCACGACGCCTCCAAGACGCCCCAGGAGGCCTCCGAGAGCACTCCCCAGAGGGCCCCGAGAGGCCAAAATCCTTGATTATGCATGAGTTTTTCATTTTGGGGGGGTCCTCGACTTTTCGAGATTCCTACGCTACAAGTCGGCCCAAGAGGCCCCCAAGACCGCCCCCAGACGGCCCAAGAGGCTGCCAAGAGAGCCCCAAGCGGGCACAAGAGAGCGCCAAGACGGCCCAGAGGCGCCTAGGACGACCCAAGAGTGCCCACAGACATCCCTAAGAGAAGCCCAAGAAGGGGAACACGAACGGAAAATCCGAGTCTTCCGCACCGAGATGCCGCAAGGATGCCCCGAGGAGGCGCCCAGAGGCCCCCAAGAGGCTCCAAGAGACCTCCAAGGGTCCCTCAATAGCGCCAAGAGCCCCAAAACGGCCCCCAAGAAGCCTCCAAACGACCCCAAAGAACCCCCGAGAGGCCCACCGCGACATCCCAACGAACATCCTGAAGGCACATGGCCCACGACCCAGATTCGGTGGCGGGATGGGCTACGCACGCGTTCCATCATCACTACCATTGCTACGGGCACTGCCGCAGCTGATGTCTGATACGCTTACGACTCCGTGCCCCTTGAGCGCTGGGGTACGTTCGAATGCCAGGCGCTGTCTGGATATATCTCTCCCCCCCTGCCCCGCCACGTCCAGACGCTCGCATCCCCCGCTCCCGAGGCTCTCTGGGCCGAAGAAACATGTCATAAACCATGGCTGGAGGGGCCATGGGTAGAAGGCCATCACACGTTGCCCTCTGAGGCCTAAGAACGAGAGCTGTCACAGGCTACGTTGCGCGGTTCTCAACAGAACGGCACACTGGATGCGCCAGCGCGCGGGCGGAACTTTCAGCAGGCATGAGGATCCGCCACCGTGCCTCTGGGCACGGAGTGGGAGTGTTCTCAGGTCCTTTAATCCAACAGCCGGAATTAGTGAAGAAGTTGTTTTTTTCGACCCCCCCTCTGTTCTGCCGCGGGACCTCCCGCTACGACTGGAGACGATAGAAGGGGTGAAAAATGTGATGGCGAGCCCTCAGTCCTCATCCCTGGAGCCTCAGTCCTCAGTCCCGAGGGGACCCAGACTCCAATTTCCGAAGTCTCCTGGGGCTTACCGCGTGCCCCCTGGGCTCCGGCGCAGCTTGTCGCTTGACTTTTCGGGGCCCGACAGGGCCTCAAGAGGGCCTCAAGAGGGCTCCAACAGGCCGCCAAGACGGTCCAAGAGGGCATCAAAACGCCCAATGATCGCTCCAAGACGCCCAAGATGGGCCGAAGACGGCCCAAGAGGTGTCCGAGACGCCCCAAGAGGCCTCCCAAGAGGGTCCCAAGAGGCAAAAATCATGGATTCTTCTTGGGTTCTGTAAAGGAAGGATCCTGGCGTTCTCGCCCTTTCGGCTTTCCGACGCTCCAAGACAGCCCAAGGGGCGCCCCAAGACCACCCAAAAACAGCACGAGAGGCCTCCAAGAGGGCCCCAAGACGACCTAAGAGCGCCCCAAGACGGCCCAAGTGGCGCCCAAGACGACCCAAGAGGGCACCAAGACGGCCCAAAAGGGGCCCAAGAGAGGGAACACGAACCGAAAATCCAAGCTTTCCGCCCCAAGAGGCCCCCCAGGAGGCACCAAGAGGCGCCCAGGAGGTCTCAAGAGGCCTCCAAAAGGCCCCAAGAGGCCCAAAACGACCCCAAAACGGCCCCCGTCGGAGCCTAAAAGAGGCCCCAAAAGGCCTCGACGCACCCCAAGAAGCCTGCAAACTGGCTCCAAGAGGCCCCCGAGAAGCCTCTCACGAGATCCCAACGAACATCCAATAGGCTTCATACCCACAACCCAAGCACGGTGGCGGGTTGGCCGAAGGCTATTAGATCCGCCGCCCCCTGTTGGCTTGCAACAGGGGGGCCCGGCGTGCTAGTGTTGGCTCTTCTTCCAAAAGAACTCTCTCTGGGGCTTCGGCCCGTCCCGCCGGCCACCCGAAAGGCCCGGAATTCTCAAAAAAAAATGTCCCAAGACGGCTCAAGATGCACTTCAAGATAATCAAGATGGTCCAAGATGGCTTCCAAGATGCCTCCAAGACGGCTAAGATGGCCCCAAGATGCCTCCCAAGACGGCTCAAGATGCATCCAAGACGGCCTAAGATAGCCTCAAGATGGCCCAAGACAGCCCAAGAGGCCCTCAAGAGGTCTCCAGGACGGCTGAAGACGCCTCCAAAAGGTCCTCCACGAAGGCCCGAAGAGGCCAAAATCATTGATTTGTTCTTGGGTTGTTGAAGGATTTTGGCTTTCGCGCTTCTTCGGTCCTGCGACGGCCCGAGACGACCCACGCGCCCCCAAAGATCGCCCCAAGATCGCCCAAGAGGCCTCCAAAATGGCCCCAGCACGGCCCAAGAGGCCCCCAAGACTGCCCCAAGAGGGCCCCAAGACGGCCCACGAGGCCTCCAAACACCCAAAATGGCTGGCAACACTGCCCTGGAGCACCCCAAGTCGGCCGAGAGAGGCCCTCAAGACGGCGTCCGAGGGCTTCAGACGGGCCAGGAGGCCACCAAGACGGCCCAAATCCTCCAAGATGGTTAAGACAGCACAGGAGGCCCCCAAGAGGTCTCCAGGACGGCTGAACAGGCCTCCAAGAGGTCATCCAGGAGGGCCCGAACAGGCCTAAATCGGTGATTTTCTCTTCGATAGTTGAAGGATTCTGGCGTTTGCTTATGTTCGGTTTTCAGACAGCCCGAGACGGCCCACGAGCCCCCGAAAATCACCCCAAGATCTAGAGGGCAGAAAATCCACCCCGATAATAACCACCCCGACACGCGAAGCCGTTTCGTAAACGCACCCAAAGAAGGAATCAAACAGGGCAAGGCTGTTTAGTAAACGCCCAAGGCCGTTTAGTAAACGCCGATTGTCCAGTCTGGGTGGTTTTTCCTCCCTGGAAGATCGCCCAAGGGGCCTCCAAGAGGGCCCCAGAACGGCCCAAGAGGCCCCCAAGACGGTCCCAAGAGGGCCCCAAGGCGGCCCAGGAGGCCTCCACGACGCTCAGAATGGCCTCCAAGACTTCCCTGGAGCACCCCAAGAGGGCCCCAAGTCGTCCCAGAGAGGCCCCCAAGACGGCGTCCGACGGCGTCCGACTGGCCAAGAGGCCATCAAGACGGTTCCAGATGGCTCCAAGATGGCCCAGAACGGCCCAAGATGCCCCCAAGAGGCCCCCAAGACGGCCCCAGGGGCCCCCAAGGGGGCCTCCAGGAAGGCCCGAAGAGGCCAAGATTTGATTTGCCTCAGGTCTTTGAAGGATTCGGGCATCTGCTTCTGTTCGATCTTCCGACTGCCCGAGATGGCCCAAAAACCCCCAAAGATCGCCCCAAGATCGCCCACGAGGCCTTCCAAGATGGCCCCAGAACGGCTCAAGAGGCCCCGAAGACGGCCACATGACGGCCAACGAGGCCTCCAGAACACCCAAAATGGCCGCCAAAACTGCCCTGGAGCACCCCAAGAGGGCCCCAAGTCGGCACAGAGAGGCCCCCAAGACGGTCAGAGACGGCCCAAGAGGCCACTGAGAAGTCCCCAAAGGCCCCCAAGAGGCCCGAGGTGGCCCCCAAGATACCTCCAAAAGGCTGTCATGAAGCTCCAAAGAGGCACCAAGAGTGCCCCCAGAGACTCCCAAGATGCCCCCTCATCCTCCTCCTCCTCCTCCTCCTCCTCCTCCTCCTCCTCCTCCTCCTCCTCCTCCTCCGCTTCCTCCTCCTCCTCCTCCTCCTCCTCCTCCTCCTCCTACTCCTCCTCCTCCTCCTCCTCCTCATCATCATCATCATCATCATCCTTCTCCTCCTGATCTTCCCCGCCATCCTACTCCAAGTGTTCCCCGAAGGGTTTCTACAAGGGCTGGGGGAACACATGGCCAGATAGATTGGCAGAGCTCTTCCCACAACGCTCGGCCACATCGGCGATTCCAAAAGGCAGTGGCGGCGGTGATTCGCCGTAGGCGTATTCGACAACTGTACGATGGCGACAGCCACACCGATTACCGCGACGAAGCCGGGCAATACTACTGCTGTCGACAATCCTGCTGATGGCAGCTGCTGTCACTACTGCTGCGACTGCTGCCACTACCTCCACTGCAGCCGCTGCTGCATCGCATCAGATGGTGAGTCCATGAGCGGTCCAAGCAGTGACAGTCACTGGGGCAGGTGCAGTGCGAGCGTGAGGGCTGGGCGCAGGGAGCACCGCGCGCGGAGGAGGAACACGACCTCCCGCCCAACAGAGACACTGACGACGGACGCCTGCCCGGCACGCACGGGAGGAGACCAGCGCCACAGCGCCGCGCGGAGACCGACGGTGGCGGCGGCGGCGTCCACGATGGTGGTTGCGATGGTCAGCAGTGGGCGTCTTAGAATCATCGCGAGCGTGGTGTCACGTCGCCGTCGGCGAGACAAGCAGAAAGATTGGCGGTTGCACGGCCGGCTGTTCTGGCGGCGGGCAGTGGCATTTCCCAGCCCATCGAAGCCTGTCGCGCCCGCGCGGCGCATGCGCCGGGTCTTTCCACCTGCGCAGCGAGGGAAAGTCCGGCTCGGGGTCCATCTCGCTCCTGCCAGGCGGGGAGGTAGGTACGGCACAGAATCAAATGACGGACGATCAGAAAAGGGTCTCACGCGAGATGGCATAGCGACCTTACGCCGCAGCATACGCGGGCCGCCAGCGCGGCACGTTGGAACGGAAGTGAGGGCGCTTACGCACGACCTTACGCGCGAATGTCGGCGCAGCCTGATCTGTTTTTCTTCGTCGCGCAAGCGGATGAATAGGCCTCTGGAGATCCAATTCGTGCTGTAACGGGATGGGCGGTGGAATTCGGGAACTGCTGGCGCAAGGGCTAGCAAGGCCAGTAGGGTTACGATTGAGGCGCGCGGCTGTCGGCAAATTCATACTAAAAGAGACCCTGGAAACCCGGAAATTGTGCGTCCGAGGGCACGTGATCACTGAGACGAGGCCCAGAAGCGCAGACATTTCGCTTGGCCAGACCGGACCCTGCGGGAGACCCCTACTGCACCCGTCAATGGACCCATCTGGAACAAAGCAAATGTTAGGTCGGGCATGTCCTCTTACAGGCGGACTTGGGAAGAACAATGAAAATTATCCTAAAATACTCAAGAACTGTTTTTTTATTATATTTTCTAATTAAAAATGGTCGGGAAAAAACGTCCCCATACTGTTTGTTTTCCTACTTTCGAATGCTCCTCCTGTAGAGGGGCATGCCCGACTTGAAGCAAATGTTAGGTCGGACATGTCCCCCTACAGGAGGACTTTGGGCGAAAAATTGAAAATACTCGAATATTACAAAATCTTCAAAAAATCGTCCCCAGACTATTGTTTGTGACTATTTCTGAATACTCCTCCTGTAGAGGGGCACGCCCGACTTGAAGCATGTGTGCACGTGCACCCGGATCGCCGAAGAGGTCGTGCTCCGCGCCTCTCGAGAGGCGCGGCCACCTCTGCGCGCTCGCGCGCGCGGCCCCCGTGGATCCGGGCAGCGTTCCCGGCCCAGACCCCCGGAGGGCTCCAAAGGGGGTTTTTGGGGAGGGAGGGGGTCTTCCAGGAGGGGCCCCCCTGTTTTCCAGGAGGGGGCTTTCGGGGAGGGGGTTTTTGGGGAGGGGGTTCAAAAGGGGGTTTGGGGGAGGGGGGTTCCCAGGAGGGATCCCCCTGTTTTCCAGGAGGGGGCTTTTGGGGAGGGTTTTTTCCAGGAGGGGTCCCCCAGGGGCTTCGCGCCCCCCTGTTTCTGACGAGGTTCCGAGGCCCCTGGGGGGCTCTTCGGCGGTGGACAAACCTCCGTTTAGCAAACCTCCCCTTGGTGACAACGGCCTGGGGCCGAAACCGACGGACCTGGACCCGAATTATTTAACGGCCGCGACGCCCTCTCGCAAACCGAAAAGGGCCAATTCCACCTCCCCCTCTGATGGGTCGTGGCCCCTGAGCCCCTTTTGCGCCACCCGGCGAGCAGAGAGAAGCGTTAGGTCGAGCGTGTCCCCCTACAAGCGGATTTGGGATTGCCCAGAAAGAACTTCAAAAGATCGTCCCCAGACTAGTTTATCAACCTCCGACCCTCTGTGGAACTCTCCGGAGGATCGGGAAGCGCGAATAGCGCGCCCGACGGGTGGCCTGGCAGGCCCGGCGCTGCACGGCGAGAACAGCTGAAGGAGACACCGTAGAGACGTAAACGTTTGGCACTCCGCGCGGAGCTCTTGGATTCGCGCTGGGCTTAGATCGGACCTGTCCCCCTACAGGGGGATTTTGGACAAAAAATAAAAAAGACTCGGATAATTCTCTAAATATTCACAAAAATATTCCAAAAATAGTCCCAGGACTATTTTTTTACTATTCTTGAATATTCCCCCTGTAGAGGGACAGGCCCGACTTAACGCTACACCCCCAGGGGCGGCGCCAGAGGCGCCGCCGGGGGGCCCAGCGCCGATCCGAGAAATCCGCGCGGAGCGCCAAAAGTTCATGTCTACGTTAAGTCGGGCGTGTCCCCCTTCTGGGGGATTTTGGGCGAAAAATGAAAATTCAAAAAATACCCTCAAATACTCCAAAATAGTCAAAAAATCGTCCCAACACTATTTTTTACTATTTGTAAATATTCCCCCTGTAAAGTGACACGCCCGACTTAAGTCTACGCGTTTTCGTTGAAAGAGAAGGGCCAGCCTGAATCGAGGCTGCGCGTTGGCATCCAACCCTGCCCGGAGCTCACCACATGACGCGGGGAACCCGGGCACGTCGGCGCGACGACACCAGTGTCGGCACAGCGCTGGAGGCAAATGGGGGGGAAGAAAAGCTGTGGACGCCCGAGATGGGTACGGAAAGAATGAGCACAATGCCCAACAGCAAATGTTGTCCCGAACCAACAGCGGCCGCTGTTGGACAGGCGGCATTCTGTCTCAAAGGGACACAAGCCGCGGCGCCGTGGACAGCGAGACCTGTTCAAAATGAATAAGAACCGCTGTTGGGCATTGTACCCATTCTTTCCGTACCCATGTCGCTCGTACCGAAAAGCAAAAGCTGGGAGAGAAGGATCAGGAACTGCTGTCGGGTTTCGCCATCGCTCTTCCCGTCCCCAAGTTCTGTCGGCCCGACCCTCCTCCTGCCGGCCCGCCCCATGCGCCGCGCCGCCGCCCGCCCCCGACCACCTCTCTGCGACCGACCTTCTCGAGTCGGACCGACGCCCGGGAGCCCTGAGGCACTGACCAGAGCGAAAAGGCCCATCGTGACTTGCACGACGCCCCGGCGCCAGTGCCGTCCAACCGTAGCACGAACTGCGGCAGCGAACTCTTGCTCTGGCGCCGTCGAAGTAGGTCGCGACGGCCACAGAAAACAAGCAATGAACCTCAGCTGGGCGGCCGAGCTCCCCAGGGGGCGCTCTGCCGTCGGCACGCGCGTGGAAACGACTCCAGACGAGAGCCCGCTCGACAAGGCCCCTGGGCCCCCACCCCCCTCATTGGGCGCCCGCTGGGCCCGCACTCCGTGCCACGTCCATCCGAATGGCCGCCGAGGCGGGGTAAGGAGCCGAGGGGGGCTGCGAACGGCGCGAACAGAGACCAGCAAGGGGGGGGGGGGGGGCGATAATCCTCAGAACGCGCGTTATCGCCAACGCGTGCTTGTCCACCTCTTCCGTAGCCTGTGGCTCAAGCCACTCTGGCTCAAGGTGGCTTGCGCATCCTGGCCAGCGGTCGCGCCGGCGGGCCTCGCCATGGAGACCGCGGCGGCGCGGCGGCGGCGCCAGCGGGCGGCCAGCGGGCGGCCGCCTGGGCGGCCCACGTCGCGCGCGCCGCCAGCTTCACGCGTGCTACAGACGCCGCTGGCGTTGCGTGCGCCGATGGAGCCGGTGGCGTTGCCAGCGCCGCGCCTCCGGCGCTGTCGGCGCCGCTGACGCTGCTGGTGACGCCGACGTCAGCGCCGCTGCTGCCAGCGCCGCTGGCGCCGCCTCCAAGCCCGGCGCCTCGGGCGGCCGCCTCCTGCCCTGCTGCCGCCGCATGGCGGGCCAGCGGGCGTGGCCGCCGCCGTCCCGCCGCCGGCCGCGCCGCTGGCCTCGCTGGCGGGCATGCCGACGCCGGCCCTGCCGCGGCCGCGGCCCTATGCAGCGCTGCCCCAGACGCGGCCGAGGCAGCGGCGGCCGCTGACCTCTGGGCGGCCGCTTGCGCTGGCCCCCGGGCAGCCGCGCCGGCCGCGCGGGCGGCCTGCGCGAACGACGGGCTACAGCACCGCGACCATGAGCTGCACGACGGGCTCCAGCAGCACGCACGCGCGCAGCAGGATGAACTCCAGCAGCAAAATCGCGAGCAGCATGACGGGCGACAGCAGCACCATCGATGGCGAGCAGCTCGGCGGACTCCATCACTAAAACGGTCTGGCAGCACCATCGCAACCAGCACTGCAGAAATCAGCAGCACGACTGGCAGCAGCATGGCGGGGTTCACCAGCATCAGCATGAGCAGAATTGCGCGCAAGACGACGTCGACCACCAGATGGATGAGGAGGTGCGGCACGAGGCGGAGGACGCACAGGCGGAGGCTGGGGACGACGGGGGGGGGTCTTGCAAGACCTCGAGGGCGGGGGCGTCGGGGGCGGGGGCAAAGGCGGGGAAGGCGTCGGCAGCGGCGGCGGGGGCCAGGGCGGAGGCGGCGGAGGCGTGGGCCGCGGCGGCAGCGGCATAGGCAGAGACGCTGCCTGGGCCGCCTCGCGTGGCCCCCTGGATGCAGGGGGGCGCATCAATAAGCATGTCAAAAGCGACCCTTGCACTTCTCTCAGTGGGCACGCGCGTCCGCCTTGCGGGCGGAGGCAACTCAGAGACAGCTTGCATCGCAGACTCGGGGCAAACGGCTGAGGAAATCGCCGAGGAGGAGGCGAGGTGGAGGAGGGCGGCATCGTCGACGACGGCGCGGAGGGGGTCGAGCCCGGCCGGCGCGTCTCCTCGCCCACTGGGCGCATAGGGCCAGGGGCCATTCCGCCGCCAGCCCCGTCGAACCCCAGCACGGCCATCTCCGGTCACGTCGGTGATCCGCAAGCTACGACGTGCACTGATCCACCTGTCTGCGCGACGGTCAGTCGCGCCCTGGATCTGGCGGCGCAAGGAGGACGCGGGGCCAGCGGCGCAGGGGGGCGCGAAGGCTACGTCGGCGACGGCGGCACAACCGAGGGCGGCAGCAGCCCTCGCGGGGGCCCAACCGACGAGCCCCGCGACGTTTCCGCGCCCACAGGCCCTGGGCTGGGCGCGCGGATATAATTCCCCCGAGGGCCACGGGAACTCCCGAAGAGCCCAGCGGGGCGAGCCTGCAGGCGCCCCCGCCCCCTCGGCGCCCGCGGCGCCCGAGTCCACCCTGCCACCCCTACCTCTAGACCCCGGCGTGGCCATCCCAGATTCGTCCTGGGGAACAGCAGGTGCTGGCGCGCGTGGATCCACCTGTCTGCGCAACGGTCACTCGCGCCTCTGGCTAGATCTCTCTGCACCTGGATCCAGCGGCCAAGTAAAAAAAGGACGCGGGGCCAGCGGCGCAGGGGGGCGCGAAGGCTACGTCGGCGACGGCGGCCCCGCCGAGGGCG